CCACCCTGGTACGAACTGCGCCAGTAATCGGTGGCAGGCGTGGAGCCTCAGGATGGAACACTACATGCCCAGCTTCGACATTTTGCATTTAGTCATCATGTACATTCTGCTCACAAGGGGTGTGGTTGACAGGTGCGCAGGCCACGTTCTGCCAGACATCCACCTGGACAACGCATTGGAGGACTACCCCGATATCAAGGCTGACGCTCCAGCACCCCTGGGCCTCACGAGCATGATGGCAACCAAGGAGGCCGATCAGGTGAAGGACTTCAGGAAGCAAGGAGGGTCCATTGGAGTCGTTGCTAATATCTTGTCGGTGCGGACGTCCCGCCAACTCGCCATCGGCCTCATGCGGATCCCGAGTCCAGTGGAGGATCACATGATGGAAGACATCACGAGCCGAAGTACAGCGATGGGATGCTTCAACGTGAACACCGGCATGGCCTCTGGTGGCAGGGACAAGGTTTTCCATGCTGTGTTCGACATGCTAGGCGACGACGATTTCTTGAACGAGTGCGGCTTCTTGCGTCAGGGAGACGCGTTCGGCCCAGATACTCTACAGGAGGACACACTTGTTGTCGAGGCGTTGTTTGGGTTTGCGTGGCGGTATGTGGCGAACGGGATCAAGTATACTTTTTTTTTTGCGAGCGCCCCCCTTCGCGTTCTTGGCCAGTCTCAAGTCCGACCACCACCACGATGCAACGATGAGATGGGTTAGGAAGTTGTGGCAGATGCTTGAGAGGTTCGAGAACTTGCCTGCTACTGAGAAGGAGGTGCACGACACGTTGTGCGCGGCGATGTGGCCGAGGAGCTTGTTGTCGAGGGAGTATTTAGTGGGAGCAGCTGAATCGGACTTCCCCAATTTTCCAGATCAGGCTATCCGCGAACTGCAAGACCTTGCCAATTGTCCGCTCACTTCAGTGCCGTCTGAGCTGGCCCATCGGGCGCTGAACGCAGCCCAACGGGAGACTGGGAACAGCAAGCAGGGTCGTGCGCAACGATGGCGCACCGAGTTGGTCAGTGGCATCCTTCAGAATTACGACCGCACTCAGCCGAAGCCAGCCGTCGACGACATTGCAACAGCCCACGAGGTCAGCTTGAACAGCGCGGCCTTCGACCCGAAGAGCAACGAGTTCTCGTTGGGCGAGGGGCGCTTGGTCTCGGTTTCAGGTTGTAAAAAGGATGCGACAACGTGAAATCCATTATTCTCCTGTTCGCTCGCCTTTTCACGGTAGACAGCTTCGAGTCTGGAGCGAGATGCTCCCCCCCCCCCCCCGCCCCCGCCCCATCTGGCAGTCAAAACATCGAAGCTTGCGATGGCCGTGGAAGGCGGGGCCATGTATTTTTTTTGCGTCGCCTTGCCGTGCCAGCTCATCGGGAAAATCTGCCCCCCTCCAACGTTTCCTCAGGGCAGGGGGGGGGGGGGGGAGGGCATTCCGAGGCCAGAGGGGGGAGGGGGGACCAGGAGAATATCGAGGAGGAGCGAGGGCCAGGAGGACACTAAGGAGACGGGACATGGCTTACGATTTCCAAGTCGTCGCAGCGTTTCTTTGGTTTACCCGAGGACAAGTTTTCTCCAGAGGCTTACTTTCGGAGCTCAGTTGCTACGTCCAGCTTGCTTTCAGCGGAGACACCTGGAGACGTTGCGCTGACTTGGCTCAGTCTCTTGGCAGTGCCTGGGACTTACCTTCAGGACACAGGGGAGGGCAGAGAGAAGACGATGCTTGTGTTGGACGTTTCCCATCTTGGGGTCCTTGTCTGGCACGTTAAAAATGAGGTGCATCACGGCAAACCCTATTTTGGTATCTGCGGGCCTGGTCATCAAGGTCGTGCGCCACTTTGGGAATTCATCCACATCCGAGACGCGAGGCATTATGAGTGTTGCGACGTGCACCCCGTGCCCCCATACATGTCGGTAGCTACTAAGGAGGATGGCACTCTCAAGCGATTCATGCTCGAGCAGAAGGGCCCCTTGGAGTCGCTCCTTCGGTTCTCCGCCATGAAAGCGTTTCCTGGACTAACTGTGTTCTACCTCAAGGAAGCGATTTCGTATTTCGAAGTTCCCGTGGTCAAGCGGCTACCGACATTGGAGTACGACCTAGTGAAACTTCTCGTGCAGTTTTTGTTGCCTGGTTTGAAGGCTGACGAGATCGAGCATATCTTGAGCATGCGGCATGCCAAGATCCCAACGAAGTTCAGCAGCATCCTTGGCTCAGATGACGTCGGCGTCTTGATCGACGACGTCGCCGACAAAGACGACAGGGAGCAGCTGAAGAAACCTGCATCTGAATACAAGCGGCAAGCAGCTGCTGCCACGCAACGTGCCGAAGCCAGGGCCGAAGCAAAGGCCAGGGCTGTCGCTAGGAAGAGGGCCCCTAAACAAGTCGTGATTCAGCCAGCTGATCTGCTGGACATCGAGAAGGCCAAATCATTCTTGCCAGACGTAGCAGGGTGTCGGCTCTCGCTCGAGCGCTACTGGGACTTACGAATTCGCGTATCGTATCCTACGGAGATGGCCCCATTCTCGACCAGCAGGGTCTACGAGGAAGGTGGCGACGTCACCTTCAAACTTGCGGTGTCCTACTGCCTGAAGTGGGCTTGGGAGCATCGCATGAAGCTCACGAGTCTAGCTGTGTGCCCATTTACTTTTGCGCATGGGCCGATCGTTTGATCGCACATCTTTTAGTCACAGAGTCTCTGGGGCACCGCCTGCGTCTGGCATTTAGGAGGCTCTCGGGACGAGCGCATCACTGTAGGGGTCAATGTGCAGTGAGGCTACCTGTTAGTGCAAGCAGTGCATGCGCACGCGTGAACTATCCAACATAACAAACGAGAATATCAACACACATGTTCGCAATACGATCATGCGCACGTGTACGTGTGGTAGGGTGGGTACTCTACGTTACTACGTCGGGACCCGCACTGCTGTTCTCCTCAGGTTGGTAGTGTCCCCGAGCTTAGGCTTTTGTTTCTCGTAATTGAGCGTTTGATGTTGAGTGGCAGCACCTGCCGCAACTGATATCGTGCAAGATGGCTGATAGCGAGTCGCGGTTATATACACCGCGTGCCGTGAGACACGTTCGATTGGTGATAATCGTTCTGCCCGTGCTGGTGGAAAATGTCGAGGAGTTACGTTGATAATACTTGAGCCAAGAGGGTCATACCGCTGTGATGTTAGAACGCTGCAAGGCGTGCGAGGCCAACCAAGACTCCTGATCCTCCACCTCCTCATTCCTCTCCTCCCCACGCCGCTGCCGTCCTATCTACGAGGCTTCGCCCAATGCGCCACCTCGCTGCGTCTTCTGAGGAGCTAGGGTCATATGCATGTTGGGCCTCGCCTATTCCGCTGCCTACCCAGACGAACGAAGATCAACAACGTCAATTTGATCACTTCAAGGGGAACGCAAAATCACCCAGCAAACAACCGAACTATCAAGTCTGAACAACAATACGGAGAGGGAGAAACACAGACACTAACGAAATACAAAGAGACTGTCGCACGCACGAGTGTACGCAAGCAGAACGGCGCACGCAGACACCAACCTGTGCCCGTACATGCACGCACCCGCATGACAAAACACGTGAAATCATTACGGAGTGAGACGGCCTGCGGCCTGCGGTGTAACATAACCTGGGCAACTAACACCACAAACCAAGAACGGTCTGAGCGTGCGTTGGGGATCACAAGCACGGACGGACCATCGCGACGACGATCATGCCAACGACGATGGTGGTGGTCGTAGCGATGATGATGCGATGGTGGCGGCGGCGTTCCAATCAGACTTGTTGAAATCATGGTAGCACGGAAGGCGATCGCGATGGTGGCGGTGTTCACGGGACGCATCGCCATAAGAGGGATGACTTTCGCTGGACACATTGAGCCTCTAGGGCGCTATTAGGAGCCACGGATCTGTTGCGAGTGTTTGAGGCGGGCCATGGCCGTGCGCAACCCTGAATCGTGCAGTGCAGCGCCTCTGCGCCGACTTGGGCGCGTGACACCCACTTCGGCGCCCGATATTCCGACTCGGGGCACGCCAAGTTTAGTAGGCTCACGCGTCGTCAAGAGTCCGTTGCGTTGTTGACCTTGGAGATGGCGTCACCTGGATGTCCGAACCAGTCGTGGTTCGGCACCCACGTGGCGCGTGCTCGGGGATCAACAGTGCAATCGTCACGAGACGATTGTGAACCTACCGCGCTGTGTACGCCACGTCGATGGTGGGGTGTCGAACGCTTTCCTGAGGGGTCCAAGGCGTTGTATTAGTGATATATTAGGCTGCCCATGGTTGAGCGCAAACCCCATCTACCCCGACCCCATATCAGTTCCCCTTATTGAGTTACCAGGCTCACTTTCGACTAGCGGTACCTATACGGTCAGGAACTTTGGCTGAGGTGTCGCGCCGCTGTTTTTGGCTCACCACGATTCGGCGCGGCACGTTGCCCACGTCCCAGTCCTTGAAAGTCGACGTCCCCGAGATCATCCCCGCCTCTCGCCCTGAAGCGCGGAACGACACACCATCCGCTTGCAGGGCATAGTTTGTCGACGGGGCCGCGATAAGCAGGAGTTCCCGACCGTAGGCCGTAGGCGTCGTCGATAAGGACATGGGACTGAAACGTGACGATACAGGATGATGATGATGATGAGGATGAGGATGGTGATGATGATGTTGATGCTGCTGATGATGATGATAATGATGATGATGATGATGATGATGATGATGATGATGATGATGATGATGATGATGGTGGTGATTTGGGGGATGATGATGACGATGATGCTGCTGATGATGATGCTGCTGATGATAATGCTGTTGATGATGAGGAGGACGAGGAGGAGGAAAACGAGGAATAAGAGGAAGAGGAGGAGGAAGAAAAGGAAATGGAAGAGGAGGAGGAGGAGGAAGAGTAATCTGAGGAGGGGGGCGAGGAAGAGGAGAAGGAGGAGGAGGAGGAGGAGGAGGAGGAGGAGGAGGAGGAGGAGGAACCCCTCCGCCCTGTCGGAGCGCCCGTGGGCGGTGCATGGTGGCCGGCCATGCCTGGCTACGGGTACAGCGGCACGGAGGGCAAGGACGACCCTTTGTTGGGGGGGGAGAGGGCGGGGCCCTGGGAGGGGCGGCGTCACGGGCAGGAGCAGGGCAGGAGTTAGTGGGGGCATTTCGAGGTGCCTTGCGTTTCTCCTTGGTAGTAAGAGCCACACGAGGGGACGAGGAGCCCGAGGACGCCCATTCTGGCAGCCGTTTAGCTTAAGAACTCTTTACGCTTTATTGAGGAATCTTGTTCTCGCTCCAGTGTCAGGCACATTTTTGGTCTGGACGGCTACGATCCTTGGCAAAAGTACACTAAAGCGCTCATGGCCGTGCTCTCACCCCTGTCCCACCTGCTCTCACCTCTGTTCCGCCTCTTCACCTTTGCTGCCATTAGGCGGCTTTGCTGGGTGATTGCAGCCGCCTGGGGCCCTCACCGGCCCTGGGGACAGTCAAATAATGCTCCAGGATGAAAGCCCAGTCCTGTGGAAGGGGTCCTGCCCTTTGGGGGCCCGCGCTGTGAAAAGAATGCCACGCCGGATGTCTGGCGTGGGCAAGCGAGCACCGTCGCGTCTTACCACAGCGGTACGGTGGAGACACTCAGGACGATCTAACAATCTCATCATCGAGCTCTTGCCACCTCAGTGCAGACGAATTCTCCTCATCCTTGTCATCCTTCTTCTCCTCTTTGATCGCTGTTGGCCTGGACCCTCGCTCTGGGATCAGGGGCGTGGCAAGGTCAATTATTGGGAGCAGTCTGGCCAGAAATGGCTTTCGACCGGCGGGGAAGCGAGTTCCCAGAGCAACAATGGAAGTCTGGAGGCCAATGCTGCCCAGCCTTGGTTAAAATGACATCGCAGGAGAGCGTGGCTCTTGAGAAGGAGGGCGACCGGGTCTTTCCGCCTTCGTTGGGCGCATCAGCGTATCATCATCATCATTACCACCGCAAGCATCATCTTCATCATGACCATCAACAACAACATTGCTACTACCCACCATAACTATCATAGGCACCATCATCATGAGCATCATCATCATCATCAACAACTTCATCAGCATCGCCATCATCACTATCATGATAATAAGCATCGTCAGCATCAGCATCAGCATCATTATCAGCATCGTCATGATTCTCATGACCAGTATCGTCGTTGTCGTCAACATCATCATCGTCACCATCATGAGCATCCATTCTGGCTGAAGAGCTGTTGCTGCTCTTTCCACCTTATGCGCGTCCAATCTCCCTGCACCTCAGTTTTGTTTCTGTTTCACCAGAGCAGCTCCCAATCGCACCATTCTTCAGTCAGTGTCCATCCAGTGCCGATGAGCGACCCCTTCGATTCGGTCACGCTGCGGGCTCCACAGGCGGCGGAGGAGAGCCTCCCAGGCAGCGTCCTCGCACGGCCGTTGACGTGGACACGGCACCCGCGACCCCTCCTCTTCAGGCACTTCCTGAGCCGCTCGGACCCGAGGCCTCGGCGATGGTGGCGGCGATCAAGGCCGCGCCGAATCCAGATTTCCGAGGGCTCCGTAGCGAGATGGAGAACGTCAGCACGAAGCAGACGAGTATAGACTTGAAAGTTGACCTGATGGGCACCATGACCTCCTGGTTCGATCGTACCGGCAGGAACGTGCAGGATCTCATGACCAGAACCGCCTTGCTCGAACGGGGGGCTGGTTCCAACAGGTCGGCGGCGGGGGATGGCGGAGGCACCAGAACTTCAGGCGCAGGCGACGGCGGCGGCCACCCCAGCAATCCCTACAATCGTGGTGCAAACTGGGTCCAGAAGACTCGACGGCAGTTCATCGTCGTTAGTGGCTTCCGCACAGACGCCGAAAAGGCTACCCTCTTGACCGAGCTGCGCAATATCATCGCCTTGCAAGCCACGTTACCAGCATGGCCAGGCCCGGATATCTTCGAGGACGTGTACATTCCAGGCCCGTCTGTTTCCATCGGTCAGATCAAGTTCCGTTCCTCTCAGCATATGTGGAGGTTCCTCAAGGCTTTCACGGGCTACGGGTTCCAGTGCAACGTCCGCCCCTTGGTCCAAGATACCGGTAGCACAGGGGAGGAGTGGCTGATGAACAAGAAGACGTCGGCGGCTCGCTGCATCATCGTGAAGCACTTGCGGGATGTCTCCATCCTGGAGTGGGGCGCGGGGATCGTGAGATATCGGGTTCGAGAAGGCCACTATCTCCCGTTTGTACGAGGCGAACCGCAGCTCAGGTCTCTTCGATGTGTCGGCTCAAGCGGGGGCATCATACCTCAATCTCCGCTTCGCTGAGCACCTGCAGGACATCAGCTTCGGCGCGCGCTGAGTTGCTTTGCCAACAGCGCCCAGAGGGTGATGTTCTACATTGCGAGTGATTTCGTGGAGTGTACGTGGCGTGGATAATGGCTTCGCATCTTTTTGCGCAGACGTGGAGGCCGAGGAGCATAGGGATGTTCTATTCAAGAGGCGGCTGTATGCCCATAGCACTTCCAGATCGGTGCCATGGACGGCGGCCACATCTCATGTGGCTCGAGCCCCTTATGAGGGGCGGAGAAGGACTGCTGTATCGTTCATCGAGTGGGGCTCGGGTGGGGCTCGGGTGGGGTTCGGGTGGGGTTCTCAGAGTGACCTCCTGGTCTGTGCGCGTCTACCACCGTAGTGTGACGTAGGCGAGCACAACCAGAGTATTGATTGACCTATGGATTCTGACGAAAGCAAGTGTGACTACTTAGTGATTGGCTGCTCCATGGGTTGGGCAAATACCACCACCGTCGCGATTTCTTCGCCCCCCCTTCCTGGATTTCGTTCAGACTCACGATTTCTCCCTTCGTAACGCAATGGATGTTTCTCCCTCCTAATGCTGGACATGTCATTATGATTGCAAGCCTGGTCGTCTTCCTCAACAGAAAGATTACATCGGGGTTTCGCGGGGCCTCCTCGAACGGCAAGTCAAGTTTGAACTGGCGCTGCCAGTTTCCGCGGCCACTGACTCAGACCACTGGCCCATCTGTGTTGCGCAGCAGGTTTTCAATGTGCAAGTGCCGCCGAGGTCATTCCGTTCCGTGCGCTCGTTGCTCGGTTGGGGGATGCAGGACTCCGGCTACCTTTTAAAGTTCTGCGACGAATTGTGGCTCCCGTTAATTCCAGGGCAAGAACTGGGCCCAGCTCCGGATCCTCGGGCCTGGCGCATTTGGTCCGACGGGAATTCTACCAGGGGGTGCCGTATTCCACAGCGGGTGGAACAAACATCTGGATGGGGTTTCGCTGTTTGTCCTCGTGGACGTGACGCTCCAGCGGTCAGGCCTCAGGCACTGATGTCAGCACATTGGCCCGTCACAGGCGACCCGCATCGCGAATCTCTCCTAGGCGGAACGCCATGGGCGAACGGCGCGGCCGAGATCGCGTCCGTGATCGAGTTCAGTTGTTGGCTTTTGGAGCAGGGCCGGCATCGGCTCGCTCTCTCAGTTCTGCTTGGGGCCCGAAATCGATGGCGCTCAGACAAGTTCGCAATCCCCTTCGGGTGCGCTTTGCGCGGGACATGATATCCTGACAGCCGAGAGTAGGAAGCGACCGAAGGAAAATGTGCACCTGGCGTATCTAGCTTAACATCTAGTACAACAAGTGCGTAAATACCATCGGGTGAACTTCGCCTGGGACAGGTGTCGCCATGCCGAAAACGTCGGCAATGATTTCGCGATGATCCGGTCTAGCAGGGCGCGCGTTGAGTCACTGATGTACCGAAGTGGTTCAAGCTTGCTCCGATGGATTGGTTCCAGGGAGACTTTCTCCGACTGCGGGGGGGCCTCGGCAGTTCAGTCCCCCGATCCACGGACAGATGCTGCGCCGGCAGAAGAGGCTTGAAAGCAGCTGCCCTTCCTTCCTCGTCGGGGACCTCTCCGAGGCGACCGTCTCCTCACCCGCGCCGCGCGCGGGCGCAGAAGGGGCAACTCTTCCCCCCCTGGGGCAGTTCACGAGCGTGATCGCCAGCGCTGCTTCTCGGCGTGGTCGATGCTGTCCGACGCGCTCAACGGGCGCGGCCCCTCCGGGCGGCCCGCCGGCAGCGCGCGCTCGGGATTTGCGACGATGGTCGCGCGTGGGGGCAGGCAGCCGCGCGCGCGAGGCCTTTGTTGAGGATTCTCATAGGGCCCGAGGGCAGATCTCCAGAACGCGGTCCACGGCCAGACTGAACCAGGCACTCAAGACGAAACGATCCCCCGGGCGACCCAGAGCTAGACCTCGCATCCCCGAGCTGAACTGGACCCGGGACGACGCGGCGTGGACGGTGACGGCGATTAGACAGAAATTGAAGATGCTGGCGGATTTCTTTTTGGAGCGCTGCGGGGATGCGAGCCCCCCTCCCTCGCCCCCGTCGTCCAGGGCCCCTGCCTGCAAGACGACCAATGACCCGCCGTGGATGCATTATCACTGGAGTCCGTCTGTGTGGGAGGCTTTCAGAGCCATGGGCCGCGGGCGGGTTCGGGATACTCAACTCCGGATGAAGATGGGGAAGCAGGGTTCCAGACAGCATGGGGCGTTCGTGGAGGTGCTCGCTCAACTTCCTGAACAGGCTTTGGAATGCGTTGCGGAGTTGTCCAGGCACCGCCTGCTGAATTGAGGGGCGAACAGACGGGCGACGTGCGGGGGGCACGCGTGATCGAGCTTCTCACGAAAGCTGGTTTCGCCAAGACGGGGGTCATCGCGGACTTGCGCCCCGTCGCCCTTCTGCCCGCAATATCTACGCGGCGCAGTCGCGATCTCCTCGTTGCTCTTAGATTTGAACAAAAAACAACACTCCAAGCGTCGATTTGCTTCCGGGAAGGTTTCCCAGGCCGAGGCGGCGATCTTCATCTTGAAGCAGCTGTTCGACACATGGAATGAATGGGGCCGGGAGAGTCCGTTGTTTACCTTCGTAAGGGGTGTCTCCAGGCGCATGGCTACGCGGATCGAGGGGGAGTTGCTCTAGCGGGGGTGGAACGCAGGGCCCCGACGGTTCTCCGGCCGGCTGGCCGCGCGGAGTCGATGAGATGTCGGCGACTATCTTATCGGGTGGCCGCGAGTTTAGCCCCTGTCTGCAGCGCCCGTTTACTAGTGCAGGGGGGCCGTGCTGCGCCGTATCTCTTCAGCCGGAGACTCGACGCCCTGATGGGCGCGTTCATCAGGAGGCGCGAGAAATTTGATTGCCGCTTCCGCTGGCAAGTATCCACCGACCGCTCCGAGGACCTCTTCATTCCCATTCTCAGTTGCGCCGGCAATTTCTGGATCCTGGGACGCACTCGACGCGACATGGAGACCGCGACCGACAGATGGTTTCAAATTTGGAGGAACGACGGATGCGAGGTGGACCTCAGCGCCTGCCTTCGGTCTAGCCCGCCCATCCCAGCGGCCGCCTGCTGGTGCGAAGCCGCCCAGGTCCAGGACCGGGACATCATGGGTGTCCCGAGGACCGAGATTACCAATTGTGTGCCGTGATTTCTCGCGACGGAAGAGGTGAAACCGCTCTGGGGCGCAGGCCGTCGCAGGCCTGGTAGACGCGGTTTACGCGGCGCGCCCGTTGCCAGCGCCGCGCCCCGCTCGAGAAGCGGCGTCACCAGCGCGGCTGCGTCGCGCGCAACTCGCCCCCCCCAGGGCGCGAAAGGGGTGGGGCTTGAAAGGGCCAGCTCGCAAAACTCAGCGGCCCCCGGGACGCGCCCCGCCGCGGAGTCTTCGGTTTCAGACAGACATTTGATGAGCCCTGGGGTTTCTTCATGCGCCGCACCTGCAGTGCGAGGCGAGAAAAAGGGTTATCGCTTTCGACTGGGATGATTATTCTCGCGCAGTTGCAGCGCCTTCGGGGCAGCCATCTTGAATTGCCGAGCGGGGGTGATCCCGCCCGCCTCACCCAGCAGGTCCTCCATTTTCTGGGCGCCAGGTTCCTTCGGCGCGAGGAAGCGGCTCTCGGCCGTGGTCGACCAGGCCACGCGAGGAAGCTGCGCCCATGGAAGTGGGAGTCCTTCTTCTCTCGCTGCCCCCGCCTCACCCAATCCTGGAATAGAATTTTCCGGACCGTCGAATTGTGGCACCACTGCCTGAACGTAGTTGTGCAATGGCGTTCGTGGGTACACTTCTAGTTCGAATCGCCCAGTTGCGCCGCTTTCCTCCCAGCCCTGGTCAGGGCCGAGACTTCTCGAGGAGCATGCATACATGCGTACGTGCAGTGTCGGCATCATCATCATCATCATCATCATCTTCATCATCAGCTTTTAATGTAGGTAAATCGCACTGGACATTCTCTCTCTCTCTCTCTCCCGCTCTCTCTCTCTCTCTCTCTCTCTCTCTCTCTCTCTCTCTATCTATTAACATACGTTTACGGTTGATGTGTGGGCAAAGGGGGGCGAGCGTTCGTGGGGCGCATTCGATTGCACGGCAGCTGTTCTGGCATATAGTGAGGCCCTCAGGAGGGCACGCTTCCTGGGGGCTCGCGCGCTCGCGCCCCCGCCGCGCTGCAGGCCGAGCGGCCTCGAATCTGCGGCTGGTGCGAGGGGCGGCTCGCCCCCGGCGAGAGCCTCGCCTTGGCGGAGGCTGGCGGGCTGCTGGAGGTGTGCGAGCTATGCTACTTGCTCGCGCCCGCCAGGCAGGCGGCGCGCGAGGCACGGCTTGTGTCGCGCGAGCGGGCGCTGCTGCTAGAGCAGGCTCGCCACCTCGGAGCGCAGCTCGCGGCTCTCGCGACGCTCGAGCCCGATGCCTCCCAAGGCGAAGGGCAAGGCTAAGGCCAAGGGCAAAGCCAAAGCCAAGGCGGCCCCTGGCAGAGGCGGTCGCGGCCGCGGGCGGGGCGCTGCAGTCGCTCACCGACGCGTGCGTGGGCGCGCTGGAGCTGGGGCTGCTGGCGGAGGCGGAGCTCCTGCGCCGGGCCAAGTTCGTCGGCCCCCCGCTGGGCGGCGCGGCGGGGGCCCCCGTGGTGCCAGGGCTCGGCGCCCTGCCTGGGCTCCCTGCCGGTCTCGACGGCGTCAGGGGCGGCGCGCCGCCTGCTCTGCCTGGCGGCGCTGGCGCGGTGGGCGCTGGCGGCGTCGGCGTTGGGGCCGCGCTGGTGGGCTCGCTCGCCGCGCCTGGCGGCGCAGCTGCTGGCGGCGCGGGGGCCCCGCCTGCTGCTGCAGCCCTCGGAGCTGGGGCGCCCCTCGGAGTGCATGGGGGCGCTGTCGCCCCAGCGGCCGGAATGCAGCTGGACGCGCTGGCAGACGGCGCCTGGACGCAGGCGTCGGTGCTGGCGGGGGCTGGCTGGGCCCAGGGCATGAACGTGGAGCTGCCGACGCACGACGCCATGGGCGGTATCAGCGGCACAGCCCTGTTCGAGGTGGACGAGGTCGGCGCGCCTGGCGCTGCGGGCCAGTACCTGAGCGCCCAGTTCAGGGGGGGCGTCGCTGCCGGCCGAGGCGATTCGCCTCGACGGTGCGTTCCAGCCTCGTGGAGCTGGGCCTGCGGGCTTGCTGCGCCTTTGCGCGCTGGGCCCTGCGCGTTGCGGCGAGCCCGCGCAGGCTGGGCGCGCCGTCCTGCATGTGGAGTGGCTGCGGCTGCGGACTGCGCGGGGGCTGGTGGAACCCTGGGTGCGGCCGAGCGCCTTCGGAGGCCGCGGCGGCGGCGGGGCTCGACAGGCCTTGGGGCCCATCCCTGGCGTTGCCGCGCCTGTTCGCCAAGCGGCCGCGGCTGCTCGAGCCCTCGCAGGAGGTGGAGTTCGCGCCCGCGGCGTCGGCGGCCGCGGCAGGCGGCGGCAGCGCAGCGAGTCAGGTAGCCGCAGTGATGGCGACGGCGCGTCGCGTTTTCGCGACGCCCCCTCCCGCGGCGGCAGCGTGGGGCTGCTGGCGGAGAGGCAGCCCGGCACCCTCTACGACGAGGCGACGCAGAGCATCGCTCGCGTGATGGGCCGGCGGGAGGGGGCAGACGGTGCCGAGACGCGTCCGAAGGTGGTTGGGTACTTGCAGGCGATCGTCATCGGTCACCACCCAGTCTCGCAGCTGCGGGTCAACACAGTGCGCGAGCTGCAGACGCTGGCAAAGGCGCTGGACCTACTGGAGAGCGGATCGCTGCCGCAGGATGCAGAGATTCAAGGCGCTGGTGCTCTCGCTGTCGGATGCGAGCTGGCAGGTGGCGAGCGAGCTGGAGATCGTGCCCGACGCCAGGCCGTTTTTCGCCTCGATGGACGAGCACGGCCTGGCGCGCCGCTCGGCGGTGCTGCGGAGGCGGCTGCAGGGCGCCGAGAGCCGCGGGGCCTTCGGGCATCTGGGCCGCGGCGGCGAGAGGGCGTGACCCGCGGAGAGGGCGCGGGGGGGCTCGAGAGCACGCTCGCCCTCCCCACGCGCCCCGCAGGGCACGAGGCAGCTTGCTCCCGGGCGGGGGAAGGGCCGCGGCCGCGGCAAGGGCCGCTTCTTCCCTCTGCGCGTGGCCAGCCCCGCTCGCTCCCCGAGCGCTCCCGCCGCGGCAGCCGAGGCCGAGGGCGCGCCCGCCGCAGCGACCTCAGGCAGCCCCGCCCGCGCCCTTCCGCCGAGCGGGCCGCGGCCGCCCCGCGGCGACAGCCCTCGCCCGAGGCGAGTGGTGCTGGCGAGCAGCCCCGAGCGGAGAGAGTTCAGACGGCGGCGCGACCTCAGGAGGCCGCGCGCGGTCGCGGTCGCCGCCGCGGGGGCAGGGGGCGCTTTCGGGCGGGACCAGCGGTTCACGCCCACGCCCCCCTGGCGGAGGCGGCGCTGCCGAGAGGGGAGTTGCGAGGTGAGGCCAATCGTCGATGGCGCCCATGCTTATGGTGCGCGGACGGGTGCGGCCAGTTCTCTGCGGGCCGCCTCTTCGCGCAGACCGCCTTGGGCTTTCCGTTGCGATCATGGCGCTGCTGTTGCTTGTGACCCCCTGGCCGACTGGCGTGATCTGGCAGGGGTTGCTGGAGATCTGCTCCGAGAGGCCTATGACGTGGGCCCGATACTTCTCAACCTGTTCAGGAGCTTCCCTGGTTCGCTTGGTCGTTGTGTCCGTGACTCCCTGGAACTACAGCTGCGCGAGCACATGGCCACCAAGGGGGGCCGGCTGCAAGGTGACTTGCTGCCGTTACCGTACCCTGCCGTTGTCGAGTCCGATGTCGTGCATGACGGCGAGGACCTCAGCGACGAGAACTGGGAGGCGCTCCGCTGCATGCTGGTCGTGCCGGTGCTGGCGCTGCACTGGGAGGCGGGCTTCTGCTCGCTCAAGTTCGCTCGATGCTGCCACGGACGCGCTTATGCAGCCCAGCGGGCCGCCCTGATCGGCCTGGTGCGGCGGCTCTTCTTGGCCACCCGCATCGAGACCAGCCTGCCTAGGGGCCTGGACTGGGAGAGCCGCCTCAAGGATCGCAAGATCGGCTACGGTGGCTCCGAGGTCACGACACCTCACAAAAACTCACCCTGGGACAGGTGCTGGACGGCCTGCCGCCACCTGGCGTCGCGGCCCCCATCGAGGCGGCCGATCTCGCGACGGGCTTCGTGCGCGATGCTTTGCTGAACCCGTCGCTGGTGTTGCTGTCGCCTGCGCTCCGTCGCGCGGCTCCCTCCACTCGGGCCTTGGCTTGCGAGTCCGAGTGGCGTCGAATTGTGGAGGCCTGTCATGTGCGCGGGATGATAGGTCCCATCGCCGCGAGCGAGATCGCCTGTCGCGACGGAGCTCCGCTGCTGAACGGCGCCTTCGGTGTTCCGATTGCTCGCGACGCCCCTATCAAGTGCAGCGGCGGGGGGCTGCGGCCGGTCCTGAGGCTGATCACGAACCTGATCCCCTCGAACGCGTGCCAGGAGTGCATCGTGGGCGACGCGCCCGAGATGCCGACGATGAGTCAGCTGAACGGCCTGGTGCTTGCCGAGTCGGAGGACCTGTTGTGGAGCGGTGCTGACAGAAAGGCCTTCTTCCACGTCTTCAGGGCGCCGCCGCCGTGGTGGCCGCGCACGGTGGTCGGCCCCCCCGCGCCGTCCCGGCTGCTGGGCCTCGAGCCTCAAGGACGGCGGCGCCACCCACATCTGCTTGCGCGTGATCGCATGGGGTGGATCAGCGCGGTGGGAGTGACTACCCATCTTCACCGCAACATGCTTCGGCGCAGCGGCAGCGTGCCTCCCGGCCTCAGCCCGAGCTGCGAGGTCACGCGTCGGCGGCGGTTGCCACTGGGGGTGGAGAAGCCTTGCCCCCCCGGCCTGGATTGTCTACATTGTCAACCTGGAGATCGCCGAGATCGTCGACAAAGCGGAGGCGGAGACGCTGCGCGGGCCGGTGCCTGCCCTGCTGACTGATGCCAGGGCTTGCTACGAGGCGGCAGGCTCGCTTGGATCCCCTGGCAAGGACCTCCACCGCGTGGTGCGCGCGACCACCCTGGGCGAGCTGATCGACGGCGTCGAGGGCGTCCGCCGCCCCCCCGCGGGCTACATTACTGAGATGGTCAGCCTGACCTTTTGGGTCCTGGGGAAGCAGCGCGCCAGCATATGCGACTGATGCGTATCCTGCTTGGCCGACGGGTGCGCGTTCACTGCTTCCGCCGCCCTCTGCCCGCCAGCTTCGCTCATACTTGGCGATGGCTTGGCGATTCGCGCAGCGGAGACTGCTTCGGCGTCGAGGTCGTCGAGGACCTGCTGATGTGCCTGGCGCTGTCGGCTCTGTGCGTGGCAGACATGCGGCTCGAAGTCGACCACCTGGCGACGGCGTCTGATGCGTCGGAGGCTGCGGGCGCGGTGGTCTACAGCGCGGCCTCTCGGACCGCGGCCGCGCGCTTGCCGCCTGGCGCCGGCGGCCTGCCAACGCTGCCTGCAAGGAGGAGACGGCGCTGGTCACCCTCTTCGACGGGATCGGGGCGGACGCAAGGCTTTTGAGATCCTCGGCCTGGTGCCCGCGGTCCACCTGTCGTTCGAGGTTGACCCTCAGGCCGTGCGCGTGGCGCGCCGCTGCTACCCTGGGACCCAGCACCTTGGGGACGTGACGGAGGCCGGCCATGCCGCCCTGGCGAGCCTCTTGCGGGCCCGAGGTCGGATGACTCGCATGCTGGTAATGGGCGGCTTCCCGTGCCAGATCTGCGCGAGCCTCAATGTGGACCGCCGAGGTGCTGCCGACCCGCGCGCCTCGCTGGGGCTGCGGGTGGCCATGCCTGAAGCTGCGGTTGACTTCCTCGGCGAGAACGTGGCTTCGATGGCCGAGTCTGACGTACTTCATCTCAACGGGCTCTTCGAGCGGATCCCCCTGGAGGTCGAGGCCGGTGACGTCGGCTGGGTCAAGCGGCCGCGCTTGTGCTGGACGCCCAGGGACCTGCTGCCTTCTTTCGAGTCCAATGCGACCATGGTGATGGCGAAGAGCTCGGCGGGGCGCCGCGCCTGCCGCGTGGCGCTGCAGGCTGAGCGGCCGCCGCTGGAGGAGGGGCTGCCTGCTGGTGCGAGCTGCCCTGGGGCCGCTGCGGGGGAGCCGCTGCCTACGTTTGTTCGATGGGCGCCGCGCTCGCAACCGCGCCCCAGGCCTGCGGGCATCGGGGGGCGCGCGGATGCTGAGCTGGCGCGCAGGGAGGAGGCGGGCTTTTCTCCCCCGCCCTACCAGTTCCGTGACAAGTGGTGCATTCACGAGGCCGGTGGCCGCGCGGCGCCGCCTGACGCGGTCGCGCGCGAGAAGCTGATGGGCATCGTTGAGGGCCACACCTGTCCCGTGCATGACCAGTGCGGAGGCGACGGCCAGCCCGACCAAGTACGAGGCGCTGCGACGATCCTTGGTGGGCAACTCGTTTCAGTGCGAGGTGGTAGCCTGGCTGCTTAAACACTGGGCCGTGGGTGCGGGGCTGTTGGTCTCCGCGCCGTCGGTGGCCGAGCTGCGCTCCAGCGCGCGCGCCTGGGCCGGGGGCCGCAAGCTGTGGACTGGCAACGTCGCCTCGCTGCGCTGCGGACGCGTGAAGCTCGACGAGCAGGTCTCCCGCGAGCTGGAGGTGACAGCTGCGGGGCGCGCCAGCCCGGGGACGCCGGCGGTGGTTTACGTCGGCCGTGGCTCGCGACGCTGGAGCTCGGAGCCTTCGGGCTGGGGCAGCCCCTTTGCCATCAGCCCGAGCTGCTCGCGAGAGGACGCGGTGGCGCTATTCGCGGGCTGGCTACGGGCGCAGCCGCAGCTATCGGGTCGCCTGGAGGACCTGCGCGGGGCTACTCTTGCGTGCCACTGCGAGCAGGCAGTGCCCTGCCACGCAGACGTGCTGCTTGCCGTGCAGACGGGGGCTCTGAGGAGCTCGGTGAGATATTCCCTCGGCAGGAGATTGATGCAGGTATTTTGCAATGGCGTAAAGCTCGACAGCTGGTTTGGGACGTTCCAGAGCACATCCATGTCTTGGAGTGCCAGGGCGCCCTCATGATGATTCGATGGCGTGCTCTTTCACTGGGGCGTCAGCAGCGTGTCTTCTTATACCTACTCGACAGCATGGTCGACATCGGTGCTCTCTCCAAGCGCTGCTCCAGCAGCAATCAGCTCAAGAAGGTGGTGCGCAGTTTCTCTGCT